CCCCGGCTCCGCCCGCTGTCCCCGTCCACCCTCCGGCTGAGCCGCCTCTGCCCGCAGCTCCGGGAGTTCAGCATCTGTGGGCGCTGCCAGGCGGCGCGGTACTGCGGCCCTCGGTGCCAGCAGAAGGACTGGCCGGCGCACAAGAGGCACTGCCGGGAGAAGCGGCGGGCCTGCCCTCCGGAGCCGGAGCCGGAGCGGTGACCGGCGGCGGGCGGCGGATCTGGACGTCTCGGACTTCTTATTTATATGTTGATATGTTTGTAAACTCATGTACAGTTTTCTGGGGGACAGTGGGTGGGTTATAAACGACCAAGAGAATCATCTGCTGCGGCCCTCGCTGGCCAAGGTCACTGTGCTCGTCGGGCCCCTGGGCAGCGCAGCGGCCCCAAAGTCCTGCGGGGAAGTAAAGGGTGGACTTGGCTGCCGAGCGCCTTCCGGGGTCCTTGCTGGGCCGGCGTGGGGCCCCTCCAGGCGAGCCGCAGTGGGGCCCACCCTTGTCCCAGGCCACGCCTTGTGTCCCACACCCACCCGTGGGCTTTGGGGGTCTCGGGCTGGGCAGCCCGCTCCCCGTCACTGCTGGCCATAGCCTGGGGCAGCTGTCCCTGCTGAGGACAGGGCCGCGTCTGCAGGGCTGCCCGGGTCCCTGCCGGAGGTGTCCTGGGGAGATGGCCAGCAGCCCGCCTGGTTGTGTGTCGTGGCCACCCGTGGCCCAAGATTCTGCAGCTCCTGGCCCTCTGACGGAGGGAAGTGCCTACTGCACAGACCGATGGCCTTGGGGCCTGTGGGCAGCGTGTGCGGGACAGGGGCAGACGGTGGCACCACGGGCGCTCGGGTAGGGGCTTCCGCAGCCCCATGGCCAGGGACATGGGTGCATCCTGCCATCTGCCCGGGTCCCCTGGCCCCTAGGCTGACGGAGAGGTGCGACATTGGGTGGCGTGAGCCTGGGCGGGCCGGCGGATGACCGTCCTGCTCCCAGAGGGTGGCATGGCCGTGGTAGCTGTGAGGGGTCTAATGGGCGTGTGCCTCTGAGGGCGCGCAGTGCCCGGCGCTAGGGGCCCTGGGGGCCAGGGCCAACAGGCAGGCCGTGGGTCTCGCCTGCTTCCTTGGCCGGGCTGCGTGCCAGGTCACACTCAGGAAAATGATGGGAGTGGAGTGCTGGGCCTCCCGCGATGCCCAGCCTGACTGCCCGCAGGGCAGTGCCCTGTGGCTCGTGGGGAGGCAGGGCCCACACCCCTCCAGAGTGGCCAGTCTGGGCTGCTGAGGTCGCCCCTGCGGGCTGTGATGCTGCAAGGCCCCGCGGGTGTGGGGGCCCTTGGTCCGCACCATCTCCTGGAGCCCCCGGACTAGACCGCCTGCACAGGGGCCACTCGGCCTGGCCGGCCCCAGCGTCTCGCAGCTCTGGCCTTGAGTCCGGTTTCTAGGAGCCCCCAGGAGAAAGCCTCCCCCTGCGTGTCTGGGCCCGCGCCTGGGGGAGGCCAGGCAGCTCTGCCCCTGGAGGTCTCTCCGAGGGCAGCCTCGGGTGTGTCCGCTCAGCTGGCTCGGGCCGCCCCGTGGGTGACCCTCGCCTTGCCGCCGCGCCGGTGCCCATGTCCGCAGGCGAGGCTGCCCACCTGGCCCCACAGTGCAGCTTGCCCGCGTCCGCGGGGCCGGCGCGACGTCCTTGGCAGCCCGCAGATCTCCGCACCCCACGCGGGCCCCCTAAGCGGGTGTGAGGAGCAACGAGGGCGAGCCCCTCCGCGTCCGAGCTCCGGGCGGCCCAGGTCCGCCGGCCGCCAGGGGGCG